GGGTCAAATACACTAGTGACTCAATATGATTTCCTTTCCTGGACATTTTTAGAAAGATACATGACTTACTTTCTGTCCAGGTTGGTTTAGATGGTAGAAAAAGTAGAACGGATGAATCTCAAGGCCTTTTCCAGTTTTATATTCCCACACAAGCATTCTTCCAACTGGCAAACCCCTGTTCACCCCCCGCACCCAAGCAGAGCTTCCCTGTGAAGCTTTCTCCACACTTAAGGTGGAATCAGGGAACTTCTTCCTCTGCATGCTCCAAAGATCTTAAATTTATGTTTATTAGAAGCACTCACTTCAAAATGCAAGTGTTTGTTCTTGACTATGGCTCTCTGTGCTTACTCGGCCTTGTATTCTCATGACTTATCACCATGCCTGGCATGGACTATATCACAATAAATATCTTGTGGATGAGTAACTAAAGGTTGACTCCATGAATGTGAAGAAGCACTGATTCCTACAGATAAATTATAATAGCTTGGTCGTGGTGGTTCTGTTTCAAACCAGGATTTGTTTTTATACACTTTATATAAATCCATCCTAGTTCTCTGAGCATTTTGTCTGTAGCCTCCTAAGATCACTACATCTGGTTGTCGACATACAAAGTAACCTCCTCTCATTAGAGGTCACACTAAATCCAGCGTAACACAAATGAGGTGGCTCTTACAATTCTTCTATTCACAAATGAGGAACCACTGTCATTTCCAGCATTTGCTGTGATTTCTATACAAAGTTGCCTGGCTCGGTGGGGAAAGTTAGGCTTTCAACTGTTCACTCTTTGGCATCTCTATTCTACACAAAGCGTTCCTCAGTATCGTTCCAATTTTAGTATATGTGCTGCCGAAGCAAGCACCAAAGTGTTCCTCCAAAACAAGGAAAGATTTTTTAAAAATCTGAGAAAAAAAATAATCCTCATCTATTTTGCTTGGAGGGCTTGATCCAGCAAATACTTAAAAAAAGAATTTCAGGGTGGGATGTAGCTAGGCAATGTTATAACAAATGTAATAGAGTATATCCTTTTCCCCTAAAAAAAAAAAAGTCAATTGGTCATGTTTAAGGAATATCTTTCTGAACTACCAGTGAGTCACTTTATGTGGCCTACCGCAGAATAATATTCAATCCTACAAATACTCTACCCCTTAAAAATTTTTTTCCTTTTAATTTTAGTAATTTATTATAGGAGTATGACACCAAAACTGTATGTGAAACATTGAGAATAACAAAACCCAAACTTTATAAATATTAGAAAGTACAATATAGAAATCTACCAAATAATGCAGGGTTCTAGTTAGCTGTATTAAAAGATGAGGAAACTCCTTGCACAAAACACTTCTCATATAGTTCAATTTCTTATACAAATTATGTCAAGAATTCACACTTTTAAATATACTTCTGACCCTGAATAACTAAAGCAAACCTTCCTCTGTCATCCTCAGCCCGCCCCACTCCAGGATGAAGAGCAGTGCAAGAACAAGCAAATCACTAAAATATCCATTTACTTATTCCCTCATAGCTCTCATCTTCCCTGACCCCCAATTCCAATATTTCAGTTAACTACCATCTACCTTAACTCTTCTCTTCCAGAACACAGGTCAGCAACCAAGGAGAAAGGTGCAGATAACAAGCAAACATTATTGCCATGCTACGATACTTCTTAGATTCAATTATTCTGTTAAGCTTTTACCTTCCCCAAACTTCACTATGAAGGCTTTTTTTTTTTTTACCTTCTACACAGATCAGCAACAAAGTGAGCATATTCAAAATAAGTTGGCCCTCCTACTGCACAAAATAGCTCTTTCCCAGATTTCAGTCCCACAGGATTTCAGCTCCTCTTTCTTAAATTGCTATTTATTCAACACAACACTTACTTGGCATGCATCTTAGGCTACCTTCCCCTTCTCCTCTCCCAATAACAGCCACGTCCTTGGAGGTGAAAGCTAGCTTGAGCCCTTCTGTACCCAGAGTGCCAGCACGCGCTCAAGAGAAGCCCTCTAGGTGAGGGTAATGGGGTTGGGGACCATTCTCCTCCCGTCTCTGCTTAGGAGACGGGACCCAGAACAGCCTCCTACTCAAAAACACTCAGACCATTTTTCAGTTCACATTATAACCTACTGTAGGGGGTATGAGGGTGTGGTAAACAAACAGGTTTTATCTCCTACGTAATTCTAATCAATTCAGCACCAGCTGCCTATCCCGCTGGGTTAAGAAAGATAATGAGACCACATCTGGACTGAGAGACTGTACTCTGATTGATTAGGGACGGCGGCCGCATGCGCAGGTGAGGAGCATGCGCCATGTGTGCTCAGTGCTTGCCATCCTAGCTCCAATCACTGAGCCAAAAATCTCAATTTCAGGACTTTTCAAAAACTGTATCTTACGGCCTAAGTTCCTTTCCTAAATGAAGCATTAGACCAGGGATAGAGGATTCAAAGTCTTCCAGATATATATTTCTATGTATCCTTTTTGTTTGTTTATATGACTGTTTTTATTTTAAAATAATAAAAGGTCTTGATGTCCTCCATCATCTCAATCTCTAATTATAACTTTAAAAAAAAAAAGACAAAACCCAGAAACAGTAGTTCAGTTAAAAAAAAAAAAAATCAACAATCTGTGATACCTCTACTTGAAATCTTTTTCCTAAGCTACTGTTCTTTACTCTAAAAAGATGGCAAGTAATTTAAGTTACAGTTAAATTTATTTTACTTAATAAGACAAACCCTCTTTTGATGGTTATTAAAACAAAAATCTTAATTTTTCCCAAAGCAAAAACGAATTGATAATGCATTCTAATCAATTTCCTTAGCAAATGTGCAGTTTGATATAACATCTATGTATCCTTTTATATAAAAGTTTGGTGAAGAATACTCTTCCTGGTGAATCAGCCTTAAAGGTCAACATGATGGACCCAGCGTTCCCTCCTCTTGCCGCTAGCTTTTCCACAAAAGCAAAAGCATCAAAGCTCTTCATTCCAGAAGCGACACCAGCCGGGATCACTTAAGGATCCCATGGACAGTGCAGCCACTCGCTTTCATTCTAGTAGATGCTGCATTCTTCTGTTTAAAAAGCTCTCTTTCCTCATCCTGTGCTCTCCCATATAGCTATACATCAAAGACAACCCCAAGATCAGGGGTAACAACATTGGGAGATTTGGTTTCTGACTTCTCTGAAATCATTTGATGAAACCTTGCAAAAGGCGTTTCACAATGGTGAGAATACAAATTCAACAATCTCCCCCAACAGGAGCACAAAATGTCCTAGGGGCTCGACAAACTCAAAATAACAAATCAAACCCATTCTTCTTTTGATTTGTTCCTGGTCGTGTTCCCCTCAGCCAGAAAAATCCTTAATTTTTTTTTTTGTAATATAAAAGATTGAAGACTCCATTTCATAATTCTTATCTAAAGAAGCATTATTACAAAGCAAAGCACATCGAGCGTGGACAATCTCCACTTCTAGCTTTATAATCGAATTTATTTTATTTCTAAGGCAATCTTCATCAATTTGCACTTCCCTAATCAAATTCTATTGTTTAAAGAGGCAATTTTGCTTAATACTTGCTGTCCCCTCTGCATTACGGTAACGCGTATCCTTGCTCTCTCCACCCCAACCTTCCCAAAGCATTTATGCCACTTATGAGCTGCTTCATAGCTCTCCTCCTCCTTTCTCCCACTGAGAACAAACCACTTAGGCCAGGGTCATACAAAAGTTCCCTTAAAATGTGTTCAGTGGTTATAATGAAATAAAAAGTCTTTCCAAGATTAAAAAAAAAAAAAAGTATGTTACAGAGTGAGAAAATAAGTAAAAATATGTTGCTTTTCTCAAGAATTCAAGAAATATTCTTTGTTTAGTGAAAGGCCAGTTTGCCTTTTTAAGTTAACTTACAATCTTATAAAAGCTTCCCAAATCCCAAATATTGAAATCATTTAAATAATTACCTCAGGGAAGGAAAAAGGCACACACACATGGGCATTATATGACATAAGGAACAATAGAGCCTGGAACAGGAGCTTCGCTGAGCCAGAGTCTGGAAGGTCTCGGAGTTCTGAACCGGTTTACATTTCACTCCATCCCCCCCAGTCTTTTCCTCCCTGACTGCTAACTCCAGAAGCCCTGGGACCAAAGGTGCAAACACAGCCAAGGAGAAGTCGGAGACAAACGCAGCTCACCTCAGACTGGCACCAAGAATGAAATCTTATTGCCACTTTATACATCAACGGAGCCTCTAAAGCACGGTATTTTTGCAAAAAAAGAAAAAAATATATAAAGTGATGTGGTGCTGCCATTTACTGAAAGGCAGGCACTGTAGGATAGCATCAAGTGTCTTCTGGGCAAGTGTGCCCTGTTCAGTATGAAATATTAAATTGAATAAAAATGGCGGGGGGGAGAGTTCAAAAGTAGAAACCATGTCAAAAGTCTGAAGAAAATGGGATTTTTTTTCCCCCCAGTGAAAAGAGATCCGGGCTTACCTTTTTTTTTGATGGGATCCTACCCACTATAGGAGCACAACAAGATCATGGAGTGCAGAGAAAGCAAGGTTGAAAGAAGGAGCTCTTCAAACACATTTCGTCAACTACGGACCCAGAGTTTCAAAACTTTCTAGGAAACTGAACTTAAAATTATTTCTCTCTACTAACCAGATCATTGCCCACATGCCGTATCTCAAACTTCCAACCCCTTCATTTTTGCCACTGAGGCTCACTTGTCTTTAAGTAAAAACAAAACAAAAGAGCTACATATTTTTATTCAGCTCAACAAATTACTTAGGTGCATGGGCAGGGGACAGACCTCACAGGTACACAGCCGTGTTTCCTCATGGACTGAATACATATCATTGCCATGAATATATCCTTTACCCTGAAATGCGAATGAGCACCAAAAGTAATTTTTTTTTTTTTTTACAAAAATGGGGCCTAAAAATCAATCCTTAGGCGGAATTCCTGAACAGTAACTACCCCGTCGATGATGGACCTTGTTTAAAGCACCACACAACAATGTGTGTTTACATCACCCTTTTATTTCATAGTTAGAAATAATACAGTTCCACAGGGTAAATCATCAATAAATAACGGTGTTTAATCATTAAACGTAAAAATCCCAACTCTTTGGCATCTGACAGGATTCTATTTCTTGTCAAACTAATGACTGTATAGATAGAGTTAATCTTAGTGATCATTCGTCAATACAATATGTTACAAAGGTGCAATTTACTTTAAAATATACAACAGCTGAAAATTTCCAGCCCACCCAAGAAATCTGATCAACTCAGTAAGATATGGGTCAACTTCCCCAAGGTGCTTTCACATGGTTTGCCTCAGTGAAAGTATAATAAATGTTGATTAAGAGTTCCTAGGGTTTTCTTAATACTTAATTCTGCTCTAAACAGAGTTTGCCATTCATTCTGGCTAAAGGAAAGTCCTACCTGCACCAGGAATGACCCACTCATTAATAAAAGGTGTTCTTATTTTATAAGCAAGACTGCAAACACCTAAGAAACTCACAGCCCCCAAACTAAAATTTAAAATCAGCAGTTCTATGCTGCCAGAGATGCCAATTCAGTAATAAATTGCACCTTCAAGAGTCAAAAAAGAAAAAAATGAAACAGAAACTTTTACAAAAGGTTAAGGTACATACATTTTTCTCAAAATATATTCAAGAATAGTTGAGCTGTATTTGTTACTAAAGCCAGGGCGTTACTCCTTTAGCAACAAATTAAACCAGTGCAATTGACATAAATTGTTAAGTAATCCAGGATTAACCCATTAAAACCGTAGAAGCACTTTAGGCTCCTACACTAATCCTAGAAACTGGAATTTCAACGAGCGCTTGAGTTGCACAGAACTAAAACTGGAATGACCTGAGGCCATGCTGAATGGTATCACTTCATACTTAGTTTAAGCATTCAATAGTAGAAATCATGAGTCCTTCTATTAAAGTTTCATTCACTTACAGAACATTCAGATGCAAACAGTATTATGCCTATCATCCACAATTAAAAGAATCCTTTCCATTTTAAAGTTCCAGATGAATTTTTAACTTAGAAAGTAAGCACTAAGGAAACTTTTTTTAACTTATGAAAACGTCATATTGGAAACCTTCTGGAAAAGCTTCCCCCCACCCATTGTAAAATAAATACTTTGTATCCCAAATTTAATTGTATTAAGACACACTTTAATAATGCTATAAAGAAATATTTTACAGCCATAGAGATCAATAACTTTCCATGCGGAAATAAAAAAATCCATTGCTCAATAGTATTACTGAGGCAAGTGAAGAAAGATTATTCTCTTGTCAATCTGAAATGTTAATTTTTTCAGTGCAAAACCAGTTATAAAATATTTAAACTCAATATTTAAAAATAAAAAGTGGTCCAATTCAGCATTGTTCAAGTTCCAAATTTCATAAAACAAATCATTTTACATACATTTTATAGTAAAATACAGAGATTAAAGAAGTACTTGAGTACTTAAAGATATAAATTTCTAATGAATCATACCAAGTCAGCAACAACCAAGCAGATAACATTCCCAATTTGAGTGTCAGAATCATAAAGATGGCATTACTGTACCAAAGCCTTTTCTTCCTAGCTAAAAAGCTATACAAACTAACGGCCAACATTGTTTTCTTTGCAGTTGCGTGCTCTAGAATGATTTCCCCCCAAGTACCTGTGATTTCATTCCTGTATTCAAATTTGATCCAAACAATTTTTATGTTCCAGGAACACTTAGCTGATATAACCATCTAAAACGTGAAGAGTCCTGTACAGAGAACGACAGTGGGTTTTTCCAGCCAAGCGGAGGCTGCCCTAAACTGGTTTACACTCTCTGCACGTCACTCATGTATTATTCCTGGCAAACACACGGTCCCCTCTGAGGGTGAGGTGTTGAAGCTGGTACTGGAGCACTTCTGTGTCAGCTGGCTCCTTGATGTTCATTTTATCTAGATTGAGGTAGTCCAGAGATTTGGAGTGAGCCCTCTTACCTTTAAGAAGACAAAGAGGCAGAGGCCCATGGAGGGCCTTGTAAGGTTCGTAGGGTAAAGATTTAGTGCACTTGTCTCCTGAGCTGGGCATCCGCCTTCGCCTCCTGCCATTGACAGCCGGGATCTCGTATGGCTGGTAGTACCGACTTCTGGTTTTATACAAACGGGAGGAACGCGCAAGTCCTGCGTCCAGCTGCTTGGAGCGCAAGGAAGGCACAGCTTCTCCCTTACTCTCTTCACCTCCCGTGCACTTCTGGGCTAACTTCAGGAGTTCCTCACCAGTTGTGAAGCCAACCAAATAGTTAGAGTCCATGTGGAGAATCTGGTAGCCCGACACAGTCCGGCGCATGGGCGAGCACGGCGTGCTGGAGCAGCGGGGCTTTTCTGCTTCTGCCTTGCCCGGGGAGCTCGCCTCGGCCACAGGCAAGGGCAGCGTGGCCAGGGTACTTCTGGACTCTCCGTTAACATCGACTTCCATTTTAGGCACCAGGCGGCACACTCCTGAAAGTAAACAGACTCAGATTGTAACGGCATCGTGCACAGAACCGTGGGCCAAGCTGCAGCAGTTGAGACGGTTCAGGGAGCATGAAATAACACCGGCCTGAGAAACAGCCACTGTCCACCGGCCAGACGTTTATCTGTGTCTACAGAGCATTCCAGAGCAGGCATTAAAACGACTACGACTTCTCTACCTTCATGAACTCGAAGGCAGGTTAAATTAAAGTCTGGAGAATGACTAAAAGGTTCAGATGGAGAGGGAAACAGAAAACAGTACTTCTCTAAATGAGGCACTCTGTTCCATCACACGAACTTTATTCCTTGATGTGGTAGTACGCAAATCAAATACAGATCTCAACATGAGGCAAATAAAAATATCCTACACGGTGCCACAAGAATCCACCAGAGACACCCAGCTTGAAAATTTACATCTTTACGTTTTCCATCATTTAATTTAAAATAAGCGCTCAGCTCTTCACACCTACATTTTTTTTTTCAATTGCATTTAAGGGGCATATAATGAAAGATGAAAATGGGTCGATTTCTGCAAAGGTTCCAATACAGACCTAAAAAAATGTTTTTAAGGTACGGAGGAGTCAATCTTAAGGGAAAGTTCCCCAAATGTTGCAAATGTTCTTCCTCCCATGTCCCCAGTGAATTATTTACAGCAAACCATTTCGTAGTTTAAAAATAAACTCTAAATCCAATAAATCAGGTCATTTTTAATATTGAACACGTATAAAATATTAGATGCACTTTGACTATTTAATCAGAAAATATGCCATTGATTTCCAAGTTATTTTATTTTGCAATACCTAAGACACTGCACTTCTGAATAGTTTAATAAATGGCAGAACAATTCTCAATGAATGCTGATATCATTCATCACGATGATGACATTACATAGTTTGGAAAACCCCACTGACAAGAAGTACCACAAAAAATGGCCAAGTTTCTAGGAAGCTGCAGATAAGTCAAATTTTGGAAAATAAAAAAATACTAAGGGAAAGTGAGTGACAGTGTCATTTCAGAGAAACTATTTCTACTTGATCATTAGTGAGGAGTAGAAAACACAATTTTAAGTACCTCAGGTAGCTAACCAAAATGATGTCAAATAGTAACTAATTTTAAGATGAAAAATTTATTAGAAAAGACTTATATTAAATGATTCTTATAAATCCTTTTGTAAAACAAATAACCTTTTCCACCATAAAAAATACAAAATTTAAAATTAAAAAAAACAAAACAAAACAAAAAACAAATAACCTTTTCCTGGTTGAAGCATTTCCCAAAGTTTGGGTATTCATTTAAAATCCAAGCAATTCTAAAGCTTAAAAAAAAAAAAAAAGAACCTTATTTCCCTCACTTGCATGCTATACTTTCCTTCATTAGGAAATAAACCAAGACTATGAAGAAGTCCCCAGATACCACCTTGTCCTCACTACAGTTCACATCTAGAGCACAACTGAAAACTAACATTGAGTCCTGAGATAGAGCAAATGCCAAAGGGATCCACAGAGCTTTACTTATTTCTTGCTCTAAATCTCAGTCTATGTAGGTCCAAATTTAATTTAATCAAAATACTGTAGCCCCTCAAACCTTCCAGATTTAAGGTAATTGACTTTATTCTATATTATTAATGTAAAAATAAATTTATATTTGTGTGATTTATTTCTCTGTTAAGAGGACAGGAATAGTGGGGGACTATCAGCTACTCTGATAAGCATACGGAAACCTGAAGATTTCTTATCTAATAAACTTTAGAGGGCCCGAGCTTCGTCAAATCTTATGCTGATAAACAAATGTTTCCTCTAACCCAAATGACACACTAATCTAATACTTCCTTTCTCACTACTTCTAGATCCCCAGAAGGAGCACAAGAGGAAGGATCCAAGGCCTCCAACCTACCTAACCTGACAGGCAGCTACGGCAGCAAGTGTGTGTCTGATAGTCCATTCTGAAAGACAAGGAGAGGGGGATCAGTGAGGCTCAAATAACCAGGGCTGTGGAGGAAACAGAGCACACACACAGATGGGTACCCCACACAAGAATGACCCAGGTGATGACACTCAAGCACTCAGTCCACATTGGGTGACACGCTGGTCTAGGTCTCTTCCCAATCTGGGAATCCATGACAGTCCACAGACCACCACCAGCCACCTTCCTGTGTTCTCATTTGGTGCATTATCAACTTGCCCAAATCCATGCATCCACACTCCACCCATTCGGATTTGGGTAATAATTCAAACAGAGGCTAGGCTGAAAGTCATCTTCTGTGCCTCCGAGGGATAAAAATTGCTAAGCAAGGGAAGAGCGTACAAAATCACAATAAAGAAGAGCAGGCACAGGCTTCTGTGGTCAACAGGACCCTCAGCAGTTTGCTCCTATCCTAAGCCCCTTCTGCTGCATCAAGGCAGACCATCAGGAATTCTCAGAATCTCTAGAAGTGGAGGATAAAGGATGTCAGGATGCAAAGGTTTGAGAGAAAAAGGCAGAAAGTATCTATTATCTAGAAAATAAGCACCTAGAAAATGAGAAAACCGAAGACAGTGAGTGAAGTGATCTATAAACGTCACAACTGGATGGGACATGAAACAGCTACGAGGACAATACTAAGAGATGAGTAACCACCATGGCTTCAGTTTCCAGCAGCCATAACACCATAAAAACCAGCATGTGGGTTGGCCAAAACTACCTAACAGGATCTTCAGGCATCTACCTGACAGACGATGATTTCACCTTGATTGTCAAACAAAAGAAACCAATGTGGTCTAAGAGCTCTGGAAATTCCAACCGAGCGGCCTGGTGTTAAGAAACCTACCATATTTTGCTGCGGTAAACAACACACCCCCTGTTCGAAGACACCACTTAACCAGCAAGTTAAACAAACAAGCACTTCCAATACACTCTAGCAAGTATGTGGCCTAGGAATTAAGGTCAACACTCTACGTCCAATTTCTGAATTACAGTCTCACGGTACTGGAACATAAAAACGCTTGTCTTTTTTTTTTTTTTTAAAGATTTTATTTATTTATTTGACAGAGAGAGACACAGCGAGAGAGGGAACACAAGCAGGG